TTATATAAATTTACCTATCAGTAATTTTGAATGCAACGCACGTAGAAGAAGCTCTTTGAGTGCCCGTGGAAATTAGATTTTATTGACCGCGAATCGCGCAGCAAATATTAAAAATGCAACTTATTCCTGTGAACGAAGAAGGTACCAAAAGTTAGTTCGAATTGCTCTTAACGCTTCTTAGGTGTTAGAGCGTATCATTTGAGTTACAACACCCAAGTAGTCTACTCTTATTTGGAACTTGAATGATTACGTGACTCTCCATGAGTAATTTTGTGATAAAAATCACTAAAATAATGAAAAAAAATTATGATCAAAAGCTCGGGCAGACATACATATGGGTCAGATCACCGCGCCCCAGGTTGCGTACACTACTTAACTGCGGGTGATCTAGCACTGAAGGTTTGCTCTGAATATGAAAACAAGTAAAACGCAGTTTTTAAAAAACTTAAACATCAAAAAACAAAAAAGAAGAAACAATTAAAATCGCAAATTATGTATGAAAAAACTTGTGAAAATAGCTGTATCAATATTTCCAAATCAATTTTTTCGATTTAAGACCTACTAAAAGCCGTTACAGTATTTTTTCAACATTTATACATTAAAATAGGAATAATCACATTTTTAGGAGGAAGGCTATTTGCGAATGTATGTTTTTTTCTTTCACTCTTTCTTTCTCGTCGTCAATTTAACAACAATGCAAGTTTGGAGCTGTGTGTAAGTGTGCCGCATCGCTCGTTTCGAACTATTCGGTTGAATTCTACTTTTCCCGTGTATACGTTGTCGCGTTCTCTCGCGAAACTCCATAAAACTAATTCATTTTGTTTGCTGAAACTTTGCCGGTGGTGTGTATATATACACCACCCGTAGAAAAGAGAGAAAAAGAGAGAGAGAAAGAAAGAGAGCTGTAACATAGTTTTGCCACAGCGCGCTTAACAATATTATTGAAATTTGCGGTATAAATCTTCGACACAGTGTCGCGCCCCGACGATTGTTTTCGCAAAGTCTGTACTTTTACAAGCAAAGATGTATCATAGAAAGGAGGAAAAAAGTGCAACGAATTTTGGGAAAATCGATGCGCGCCGTCTCACTAGTCTTGAGAAGTACAGCGGAAACGATAGAGACGAAGGCACGACTATATATTCTTGCAAGAAAATTACATAGAAGCAAACGTGGCAATGTCGAGTAGAAGCTACAGAGACACGACACGAAACAATCGAGCTTAAATTCAGAGCTCGAAACAATGACTAATAATAAAGCTCGGCTGCTTCGAAGGTACAGATCAATCTAGCTCCGTTTCTGCTTAATTCCTCGGCGAGGCGCGCGGTGAAAATAGTGCCGCTGGCAGTCGAACGAAAATGCCACTCTCTGTCTCTCGATGCTCCAGCTCGAGACAATCCTCGCGTGCCTGTTTATTGGCAAAAGGAGGCATGCTCTCGCTCTCTCTATCTCTTTCCTCTCTCGGGGGCTTACGTGTTGTGTGCGTTAACGGGCGCCAAACGTGCAATTTTCGATGCTATGATAACGACCGTGAAAAGAAAGCGAAGCTCGGCAGCTAGAAATTCGATACCGTAAATCTAGTACGTGCATCGCGGGTGCGTTTTATGATTTTTTTTCCTGATTTTTTTATTTGCCACCGATACCAAAGCTCGCGTTACAATATCGCGATACAGTCTATAATAGCATTGTAGGTCTTTGAAAAGCAACGGGATGAACTTCAGAGAGGTACACGGTATCCTTAAAGTCGCGTGTAGATACACAGGCTCCGTATCTCACTTCATATAACCAAGCTCTGGTCTTTGAGAGCGAGAGATAGAGATAGAGATAGAGAGAGAGCGAGATGAGTGAGATATCGTGCGTATCAGTAATTACCCGTCGCATTGGAAACCAGCCCTATCTCCCCGAGCCACCCCCACTGCTCTGACTCGTTCGCTACCGACCTTATATAGGATGCAGTGTATACGGTGAACAAGAGCTGCCGAGCCAAGCCACTGTGGTAATTATGCTGAGCGCGCGCAATTCGGATTGCTGCTACTCATACACACACACGTACACACTCACATATGCGTTCGATTCGTATATATATATATATGTACTACACTAGGAGCTAGCACACGTGTGTGTATATGTGCGTGTGTCTGTGCCTCTGTTGCGGTGACACGATGGCATCGATTGCTGCGCCTCGGGCTCGCGGAAATACATTCCGGGCGCGCATCATTAACCTGCACCACGCCAGAGTACTGCGCTTTATACCTGCGTATACGTATACGTAGCATGCACACACACACACACACTCGCACGTGCTCGAACCTCTACCCACTATAGCTCTATAGTTTTTCGTCAATATATAGCGATGACGACGATCGTGCCGATATGATATTGTGGCGAAAGCTAACACAGAAGAAGAGGCGCACAAAGCCCAAAGTTTATTATAACGAGCGCCGCGCTCGACATTGATTTTTTTTTTTTTTTTTTTTTTTTTTAATCATCGTTGTCAACGCGAGCGTGTATGAATTTTTTAATAAAAAATCAACAGCTGCGAAAAAGCTTAATCGCGATAATACGCGAGCTTAAAAGCTCGTGCAGCGTCGGCTCGCAAAAAGGAGCAAAAAATGTATGTATACGCGCCCACGTAGCCGCAACGCGATAACAACGTTGCGCACGTAGTTTTTCGCGCTCTCTCTCTCTCTCTCTTATCATTCGTATTTGCAGTACTGGAAAAGCTAAGAACGATATATTTCATGCATTATATAATACATAAAATCAGCGCGTCGGATCTATGCACAGTTTTAAAACTTACTTCGCGCGCGAAATTTTCGCGGCGTAGCACACACAACAAGTTGCTCGTAATTAGAGCGAGCGAGGTATATAGCTCCCTGAGCTTGCGCACACGCGCTAAAGTCCTGTACACGCATACGAGTGTGTGTACGCGGGTGTGTGTGTGTGTGTGTGTGGGGGGGGGGGGGNNGGGGGGGGGGGGGGATATGCTCGACCCGTCATTTAATTATTTGCAAGCGCAGAGCCGTGTGTATAGTACGCGCAATGACCAAATCGAGACGCGATAAAAACGTGAGAGAGGATTAAGTGCCTTTTTTATATTTCATGCGGAACCGTCGGGCGTTCGGTGCACACGCCTGCAGGCGCAAAATTAATCAGCTCGCGTTCGGCTTTGTCCCAAATGAGTACGTTTTAAAAATTCACGCGCCATTTCGCGAGTCTCTCGCGAGGGACGTCATTTTTATTTTTGAAAAGTTTACACACACTCATTCAAGCACGTCGAACGAAACGAGTCATTGTGTTTCACGCTACATAGTTTTGTCTTTCCTTCGAGCAACGCTCTGCTAATTGTCCAACGATCGATACGCGATCCAGCGACACAATATACACGCGTACGCTCTCGAGTGTACGCCTGTGTATACCATATACGTATAATGGATAATGTCAACTGCACACGCAGTATGTGGCTTTTAATTAGCTGCTGAAGTGAGAAACGGCGACGGCCAAGTTATGTGCAATGTACTGCTGCTACGCCGCGTGCTCTGCAATACGACGGGGCTAATGGTCGCAGCGCACAGTTTGCGTTGCCTCCTGCTGCTGCTACTGCTGCATCGGAATCGCGGGCGCATAACGCGTTGTTATATGGAAGAACTTTGGCCTGCGCCGAGAACAACCATACAGGAATCATATGTATGCGTCGGACGTGCCGTAGAGCTAGCGTAGCTAGCTCGTACTCCGGTCTTTTGCATTATATTCACGCAGACATATGTTGCCCGACTTTATTGCGTTACGTTTCACTTTTCGTAAAGTTCAGAGAGTTGCGTGGGCAGCAAAAAAAACTGCACGATCCGCAAAAGGATTAAAACAATGCGATCGCGCGCGCGACGAAATGTAGCGCGAGCACAAAAATTCCACGTTAACCACGTGACAGGACAAATGAGATCAGAGTTGAACAATAGATCCCTCTCTCTCACTGCAGTCCAACAATCTAGAAGGTTTATCTGAACAAACGAGCGAGCGGGCGCGCCGCACACGGTCGCTTCACTTCGGAGCTGCAGCTCCATTCAACTCGATCGATTCCCACCTCTGCCTCTCTCTCTCTCTCTCACTCTGCCTCGACGTTGACCCTTTGATTTATTACGCTTTTAGAAAGCCACCCCCTTTGTCGGTCGGGGCTGACGATTCGAGGCTACACCTGATGTCCGACAAGCGGATCGCACTACCAGCCGTCGCCTCTGCTGTATAACTCCTCCAAGTTATATGGTAATATTCAATGGCAATTTGAGTGAAATACAGTGTTTAATGATCAAACAAAATTATACGGGTCATTTTAATACTACTTATTCTCTCTCGCTAACTCCAGCTGGCCTTAGTTCCTTCCGTACGTTTCACTTTATCTATATACATGAGGTGCGGAGAGTAGAACGCCAACTCTTGATGTACTTTTCACTATTTAATTTGCTCTTCCAACTCAGCTGTTCTTCACTTTCTCGCCATCGCATACAGTTGCCCTCTGTATATAGCTCGACGACGCGCGAGTGCACTTTCGCAGTTATTCTAAATTACAATCGTTCTTTTGTCGCTGCCCCCCCCCCCTCCCCCCAACTTTGTATCACTTTTTCATAATTTCTCCCGTGATTTTTCTCACGTAAAAGAAAAGGGACTATGATGTGCGTGCGCTCGCGTTGAACCCGCTTTACCCGTCTTCTTATGACATAATGTTCTTAATAGCGAGTGAAACAGCTTTTCCTATCTACATTTACTATATGCGCGCTTGCCGTTTTTTCTTTACGACTTACATGCTTATATTTCATGTCACATTTCTGCCGCTTTACGTCGCCATTATTCGGTTCATAATAATATATATACGAGGCTGGCTCGTGAATAACGCAATAGGCTTTCTAATCAAACATTTAATTATTCAACAGATGGCGATCAAGTTCTAAACGATGCATTCAAGCGCGTCAGATGTTTGCGTAGTGTATTGAAGTGTATGAATAACTTACGTGTTCGGGTTTTTTTCAAACTACAAGACGATCGCTTCAACTCACCTGAAACATGAAGAAAATAATAATGGTTATTAGATGTAGTTGATAAATAACGTAACATACGCATTGAGATTTAATCAGAAATTCATCAAAGAATAATAAACCACAAATGTATCAGAGGGCACATGAATTCTACACATATACAATAGAGAAAAAAGCTCTCGAGTTTCTTGCAATAATAATGAAAAATGGCCGAAATATCGGTTGCGCATTGGCAAAAAGCGAAACAGCATATCGAATGCATAAAGTAGTAGTAGCTGTACGCGTGTGCTGCACTTGCTGCTGATGCTGGCGCGCGAGCTAGTATAGTTGTTCACTATACCACGGCCTGCTTTCCTTGTTTTCTCCGAGGAGCCAAATTTTAAAAAACATCTTGGAATACTTACGAGCACTCTCAAACTTCGTGAAAATATTCCTTTTCCGCTTGCCAATTGAAACTGGGGGTAGGGGGGAACAAAATATGGAAAAAGAATATCCTGGGTATTTTTTTGTATTTCGTTTTCGTATCGATTTCGACCTGAACATTACTGAATCCATACTGAATAATAATAATGCATAAAAAGTCTGACGTTTTAAACTCTGACTGTAGTTGTTCAAAAATGATATAGACGATAGAATTGATAGGAAAAAGTAACAAATCCATCCAAAGTTTTTACAACTTAATCAGTGAATGAGAGGGAGTGAGTCAAAGTCTCTAACGCGAACTGATTGGTAACATTTAAGATTTATTCCGAGGAAAATTCAGTCGAACGGAGTGTGCGGGCAGAGGACAGGACCGAGAAAGATAAAGAAAGTCATTGCCGAGTGCTGCTGTTGCAGCTGAGACTTACGAACAAAGAAAGACAAGAAAAGCTCTCGCGCAAGCTCTCCAACGCGATAGGGAGTCTCGAGCCTCGATGAACTGCGGGTTATCATCTATTGCAGCGTCAACTCCGTCGGGCATTACTATGTACATGTATATAGCAAGAGAGAGAGAGAGAGAGAGAGAAAGGAGGGAGCTGGAAGTTCGCTCGGAAATTTTAGCTTTATTACAATGATAAATCGAGAAAAAAGTACCGAGTGAGCTCCTGTGGCATCGCGAGTCGTTAGTCTTTGAGCAAGACAACTGATTCGGCACGCTGTTCTCCTCGCGTTGCCTGTATACAGCAGGATGATTATGAAAAGAGTGAGGGGATGCACCATTGAAAAAATTCAAGTTCTCGGTTAGTTCTTTTCAATTTGTTTGAAAAAAGGGGTCCTAACGCTAAAAAGTTCCAATCATATTCAATTTTTTGTTGTTTCGTTGTATCCTTAAATAGAAATAAACTCGAGTAACTGGCGATTTGAAACGAAGATCGCACAAGTTTTTAATTAGCCAACTTGGGTATTCGATTTTTCTTCTTTCGCCATTTTTCACTATTAATTTAGTACGTAAAGACTAAAAAATCAGCAAGATGGATGAAATAATACGAGAAAAAAATAATAAATTCCGATTTTGTTTGCATATCAAGTATAAGTTCGCAAACAAACTATTGTGAATTGAAATTTTTTTCCAACTCTCTAATAGCTAAACTATTTTTCATTATTGAAAGGATGTTAATCGAATATGTATGTGAACACTGCATTTACTAACTCTATGCGCATAAATTTCACCTCGTGCTTTTTTATGGTTGATAATTTCAAAGTAAAACACAAATGAATGATTATCAAGGGAGCATCCACGAAAAAAACGAGCTTTTACTTCGCTCTATTTACGTATGCATAGACATATTATACGTATTATATACGCGCCTACTCGCGCACAGATGACAAAATAATAAGAAATTTTTTTCGAGCTTTTGGTACAGATCTTTCCCGATGACATAGAGCTATAATCGAGTTTTGAATTCTCTTATAAACTGGATCTTTTTTTCATACCTACGCTGCGCGAGAGCGAAGGAAAAAAATTACATAAAAGAGAAGATAGAAGAGATTTATACGGCTGCAAGCTCCGGAGAAATGTTGCACTCCTGCATGCCGTTATGTAAGCGATGAAATTACAAGAAATATATACGTATTTCTGTATGTGTATGTCTGCAGAGAAACGATGCCTCGCGCGCGCCCACGAGTAGAGAGGTCGGGCTAACCATTCAAGTCGCAGCAGCAGCCGCAGCAGCAACCCCGTGTGATTTTTTCCGTCCGCACGCTGGCTTCTCCTGCCTCTCTCTCGGCCCGAAGATATATCGTCGCGACTGTTTATTCAAGAGCTCGTCGCTCGTGAGCCCGATAGAGCGCGTCGACTTTGTTTTCCGTAGCCCGTGAATTGTAGCATTTTTTTTCTTTCATATCGACGCTGGTGCTGCAAGCTCTGCAGTCGAGCGATAGTGTTTTTCTATTCTCACAATTTAATTTGTAACCCTGCGGCCTGCTGGTTCGCACATTAATCGTTGGTGAAAATGATAAAAGTGCCGTCGTTGCACGTTGCTTGATCGCCCGCGTCTTCGATGAACTCGAGTATTTATTTATTTTTCCGCTCGAATAAATCATCTCCATTTAACACCCGAAGGTATATATCCATCAGCGCGACTTTCTGCATTGTGCTTTTCACGAATTTGCATGCTGTACGCTGGTTACACGCGACAGGTATACGCGATATCTATGACGCGTTGATACAGCGACCGACACAATGCGTCAGTCAATCTCTCAACATTATCAAAATCCAATCCCAAAACTACGCCCACGTGCACGCCGAGTGTACGCATATTGGTACAGATGGAAAAATTGGATTACTTTATTTATTTGCAACGAAAAACGCGCTGGGAGATATGATAGGCTTACGTTACAACGTGCGTCATCACGGCAGCCCACTCGAATTTTCATTCTATACTGTATAGAGATGATACCACGACGCTTTGGGCCTCACACATTTTCACGTGGTGAATTGATACTCGTGACACACAACGTGAAAATGTGTGAGGCCAAACTCGTCGGAGTAATTTCTTCAAATCTCATTCCTCCGTGTTCAAAATCCAATGGTTGTCGTAACTGCATGTAATTGTCAAGATGCTATGACACTGGCGTAACGCGACGTTGAACTCGCATGTAATGGCTTTAGTTTTTTTTTTTTTTTTTTTTTTATTTACGATCACGTAACTTCTGTCAACGAGAAGCTCGTACACGGCAACGTAAAATGGATAAAGCGCGCGCGAAAGCTCGCCCAGCTGTAAAAGGAGGAAGACGTAACGCAGTGTGCTGCTGCGCGGCTGCACGACTATCAAAGATGTATCGGGGGCTTTGATGGCAGTAACGCATATCCTATAGCTCTGTATTCGCATCGTCTTCTCTCTTTGTTTGCCGCGCGCGCTACATATAGATATATACAGTATTAACATCGAACGAGCTTTTTCACTCGGTCGAGGATTTTCTCCGAAGCTTTCAGGACACGGATACCACGAAAGAGAGTTATCACGTAGCACGTATAGCACTTCAGAATCTCAGCTCCCTTGTCCTCTCTCATTCTCATCTCTATCTCTCTTATCGTAGATTTCCATGCCGCGTAGTAGTATCGTACGTATACACGACAATATTGCAACTACGGTTTCAATGGTGGGAAATTGAAAATCAAAACATCGCGCGCGCGTGACTGGAATGGCGAGATTTAGTTGGTTATATAAATGTGTACATGTACATATTGAAAACTGCATTCGTTCAACCCTGCAGTGCTACACTCATGATTTTAAATTAACTTTCTAATGATATCGCTTTGAAATACGCAGATATACATGATTGAAATGTCATTTACAAGTATCGATTGTTTCATAGCGAGTAAATTAAAAAGCGCCAGTGAAACGAAAATACTCGACTTGACCGAAAAAATAACTCACGTGCGGGCGCACAATTTCAAAGAGAACGAGGGAAATATAACATACATTCGAGCTCGAAGAGAGAGAAGTTATTAAAACTCCGTGTGCAAATACAATGCACTCGGAAAAATATGAAATTCGACAAACGAAAGTCGATTTTCGCAAGACAGGATGCGGCGCTCGCTATCCGGAGTAGGTATACTTTCTCTGCGCCAGCAGCTATTATATATATAATACGTATATACTTGAGGGATGTAGGAACAGCGGCAGCAGGCAGCAGCGTCGACAAAGACTCATATTTATCCAATACATCCCAGCGAGCTTTAGTTCGTGTGGTATATCTCGCGAGCTCGAGGAGCCCCCTGGAGGCATCGCGCGCTGCACTGGGCGGCTTTCCCCACTGGACAGAAATCAACTTTGGGCACTGTACTCGCTCTGCACAGCTGCAGCTACTAAGGATGCAGGCACACTAGCGAGCGCGCCTCGGAAAAAGTTGTGCTCTCTCTCGAGCTAACGGCATGATGTGTATGTATATATGCGCTTCGCGTGGTCGCATATAGCGTAATCTGAGATAATGGCTCTGGGATGTTTGTGTTTTATACGCGAACAGACAAAATCTTGGATAAAAGGGATGTATGTGTGCGCGAGTTCGAGTCAAAATCTACTTTGAAAAAGATTTTTTGGAGTTAAGTTCTTTAGAATTGGAGCAATCGTTTCAACTTTCTGAATGGAATGTTTATGTCTTTTTCGCAGATATCAAGGCATCGATAACGGATAAAAGTATTTAAAATAACTTTAGAATTGAGGATCTTTTCATGAAATAAAAGCTATGGTTCATGTATTTAACTGTAAATTTTATTTTTGCAAATGAATATTATTTTTATTTCCATGTGCAGTATTGATAAATCTGCCACGTTATTCTAAGCCATGCAAATGTGGAAAAGTGATATCTCTGCATTAAAATTGAATTCAAGCACTAAATAATGAAATATCGACATCAAACGTGTCAACGATGTGCATATTGTTTTCCTACGCTGTGCCCCCTAAGTCCTGACATTCTATTGATCCTCAGCTTATTGCTGCGCATCATCTCTATAGATATACACATCGACGCGCGAGCGAGGTAGTTTTTTTCAATATAGTCCATTTTCGAGCGTCAGTTGTCGCTTCACTAGCTAAACG